GCCTTTCTCTGTTTAGTGAGTGCTACAGACTAGTCCGCAAAAAGGAGTAAGTTGTGGCCCCCAGCAATCAGGTGGTGTTGGCTACTGTAGGCCTGCAGCAACAGGTGTCTGTCAGAAAAGTCCAGGTAATGGATGATAACAGGCCTCGGTTTCTGGCGATCCTTAGGGGGCCTAGCCTGTGTGCACGTTCCACCTTGCACATATAAGATAAGCCCAAGGCTTGCGGAATCACAACTGAACAGAAATGGGCTAGATCGCTTGGCGACACAGATTTAATCTAAATATGCATATAAGGGACGATATCACCTCAAATAATGGGGAAGACGTGGAAACCTTATGGCTGGAGCTAGATATGATGGACACTAGCCCTAAACTTCTCGTGGGTATTTGCTATAATGTGCCTCAGGGTTCTGTGCTGGGTCCCATATTGTTCAACTTATTTATTAATGACATCGGGGAGGGTGTTAACAGCGATATTTCCGTGTTTGCGGATGACACCAAAATAGGGAGGGTAATAGACACGGACTTAGACATTATAACATTACAGGAGGACCTGGATAAAATAGGGGAGTGTGCATTAATATGGCAGATGAGGTTTAATGTTGATAAATGCAAAGTAATGCACTTTGGAAATAAAAATAAACAAATGGGTTATACAATTATGGGTATGCCGCTAGGAAAGTCAGAAATGGAGAAAGATTTGGGGGTCATTGTAGCCCACAAACTGAAACGTAGCTTGCAGTGCCAGGCTGCTGTAAACAAAGCTAGTAGGGTTTTGTCCTGTATTAAGAAGGGGATGTATTGCAGGGACAAGTCTATAATTTTGCACTTTATAGATCATTGGTTCGACCGCATCTGGAGTACGCGGTCCAGTTCTGGTCACTAGTACTAAGAAAAGATGTCCTTGAGCTGGAAAAAGTCCAAAGGAGGGCAACCAAACTAATTAGGGGTATGGAGGACCAGAGCTATGAGACGAGGCTACTAAATTTTAACATGTTCACATTGGAGGTGAGGAGATTAAGGGGGGATATGATTTCCATGTACAAGATGTTCAATGGTGGTAGCAACATTAGCGACAAAGTATTTAAAATTAACTCAATTACAAAAACTAGAGCCCACCACCTAAAATTGGTGGAAAAAAAATTCCAGCGCAAGGGGCGAAGGGGGTTCTTCACAGTTAGAGCGGTTAGGGTCTGGAACTCACTGCCGCAGGCAGTGATTTCAGCTAAGAGTGTGGAATTGTTCAAGAAACTCGATTTCCTAAGGGACCGTAATATACAGGGGTATAAGTACTCCTAAGAAGGAGATCCTATAGGTTGGACTTGATGGACTAATGTCTTTATTCAACCTCAAATACTATGTAAAATTTGGGCAGGCCCACTATGCACAGATTGTTTGACGCAATCTGTTTTACAGATCGTTGCGTTTATCCAGAAGCTATTGAATAGATTCAGTGGTTTGCCCATTATATATATATGCAGGGAATGGACACGATCTTCCACATCACAATCTTTTTTCAGCCGCTTGCAAACGTTTCCCATGGGAATCTAGTGCAGCATTGATAGGGCCCAAGTGCTGGGTGATGACATCAAAAATGGTGGATGTGATGTCCAATTTCAGGAAAGAAGCTATGGATGAGGCTAGAGCCTGATAATCCACAGACACTGTGGGATTTGCAGGGGGTGACTCACCAGCAGATTCAGAGAGCTGCATGGGCTGTCCATCTCCCGGATCCTCCATCATGGATGGATCAGTGTCGCTGCCCGAGGAGAGAGTGTCTAGTCGGCTTCGAGCGGGATAAAAACGTCTTCATTGCTCGCGTAGGTATAGGGTGAGTGTACCGGTAACCTTTAAGCGTGTGGGATCGTGCTGTGTCGGTCGGTGGGACGGAGCTTTGGGGAACACAGCTTATCCCATTAGGCGCCGGAACCGGAGGTTTTGTGAATTTCAATTTTTATGAACACAAAACGTAGCAAGGATCTAAGAAGTAGTGGTAAGTAAAAGAACATGAAAAAGAAGCTGGAGACGGAGAGAAAAAGGAACAGAACAGAGATAGAGGGGATAAAAAAGGGCTGCAGATAAGCAAGGGGGTAAGAGAAGTACTTCACACCCCGGGGACAGCAGGGTCCAATGACCGACAGGGCACTGAAGGAGTGATGTATAGTCCAAAGATTGCACGAAATGATCCCAATAGAACCAAGTACGTGAGAAGGACTGGGTCCCATCCCTGAGAGCAGCCGTGAGGTATCCCCTATCTTGAATCTCAGACACTCTGGCCAACCAATGCACCACTGTTGGCGGCGCTGATTGCTTCCACATACTGTCTCAGCAGAGACTTCACATATCTCCTGCCGGACATTGGGGTCAGATTCAGGAGGTCTTCCGCAGGGTCAGCGGTGAGGGCAACGCCCGTCAGTTGCTGAACAATCCCTAGGACCTGATTCCAAAAAGGAAAGATCTGAAGACAATCCCAAAGGACATGTAGTAGGGTGCTTTTGTGTACCAGGCAGCGCCAACATAGATCTGAATGCTGTGAAAACATTTTGGAGAGTACAGAAGGCGTCCTATACCAACATGTCATGACCTTATACGTAATAGCCTGGTACTTGTTACAGATAGATGCTTTATGAGCAAACATCAAGATTCTGTTTATTTGGTCGTCAGTAAAGGCCATCTGCAGATCCCTTTCCCACTTACGGATGAAAGGCAGATCTGCCGTGGACACAGCTTGCAGTAAGAACCTATAACCCATAGAAAGGACCTCACGGACCACGCCATAACCCCCACGCAGCTCTTTAAAAGGAGTAGTGTCCTGAGCAAATAGTGCCACGCTTGTGCAGAGATTTGAGAATGTATGAAAACTGAAGGTGCCTCCATGGGTTAAGATTGGGGACTTGAAATTCCCTAGGAAGTACAGAAGGATCATTCCACTGCCCCCGATGAATGAAAGATCGAGCCGTATCCAATCCAGCCTTAGGCAAGATCCAAAAATGTTTGTCCGTAAATCACGGGACAAACTCAGGATGGCCCAGGATAGGTGTTCGAGGAGACGGAGAGATACCACTTAAAGTGTAGAATTGTCGTACTGATAGGAGAAAGCGAAGTTCCACCGATGGGGCTCCCCGCAGTGGGAACTCTACACATTCTTGCTCTGTTTGGACCGTACTTTATTCTCCTCATGTTTACACCAATCTACTACTCGCATCAAGTGCTTAGCTAGATAATAGAGTTCCAGATCTGGGAATCCAATAGCGCCCTGGGGTTTAGCGCGCAATAGGATCTCTCCTCTGAGCCTCATCCACTTTCACTGCCATTTAAATTTCAGGAAGCCCGACCGAATCGCATGCAGGAAATTTCTAGGAATGCGAATAGGTAGTGTTTGGAAAAGGTACAAAAGACGGGGCATCACGTTCATTTTCAGAACGTTGCATCTCCCAAACCAGGATAAGGCCAGTGTCTTCCATTTCTGTAAGTCAGGGTGAAGAGACTGCTGGAACAGCAGAAAGTTCAGTTTGAAAATATGAGAGGTCTGCCGGGAGAGATGTACCCAGATAGCGGATGGCCTGTGTAGCCCCCCGAAAATTGAAGTTAGAGTAGAGCATCTGATGTAGAGAAATGTTCAGGGCTTCTTATTTTTGCAGGTTTACTTTGAAGTTGGAGAGGGAGCCATAAGTTTGTAGTTCCTGCATCAGAACTGGAAGGGATGTATGCGGTTTAGTGATAAAAAAAGAGAAGGTCGTCCGCATATGCCGCTATTTTATGCTGGCGGTTACCAATATGGAGGCGGGCAATATTAGGGTTGTTCCGGATGTGACAAGAAGGGTTCTAGGGTAAGCACAATAATTAACGGGGAAAGGTGACAACCCTGGCGAGTGCCATTTGCGCTAGTAAAGGGGCTCGAGTTGTGTCCATTAACCCTAACTACTGCGGAAGGCTTTGAGTATAACGCCTCTACCCATGTTCGTATCGATGGCGGTAGACCAATATGAGACAAGGTCAGAGACAAAAAGTCCCAGGACACCCTGTCGAACGTTTTTTCTACGTCCGTAGATAAGAGCATCATGGGGACTTCCCGCAATCTGCCATTATAAATCACGTCAATTGTGCGAACCGTATTGTCTCTAGCCTATCAGCACGGTATAAAACCGACCTGATTAGGGCAGATTATACGTTGCAAGATTGGGGTCAGTCACATAGCTAATATCTTTTCAAACAATTTAAGGTCACTATTCAATAAAGAGATAGGCCTGTAGCTAGCGCATAGTAAGCGACCTTTTTCCCGGCTTTGGAATCACTGAGATGGGGGCTGAGAGAAGTTCCGGAGGGAGGGTATGGCCTTGAGAAAGTGCATCAAATGCTTCTACAAAAGAGGATACTAATTGAGGGAGATGGGCTTTGTAATAAAATGCAGGAAGGCCATCAGGTCCCGGAGTCTACACTGGAACGTTTTTACACGTGGATCTAATTGCGCGAAAATGCACAACACACACATTTCCATGCATGTCAATGGCAACTGTTTATACCTTAGCGTTGCGTGTAGGAAAACACCTGTCACGCAAAAAGATGCAGGAGCTATTTTCAGCCGCATGTCGCGCTGTTTGGGTCCCAATAGATATCTATATGCAGGGAGAAACGCACGTTCTTAAATGTAAAAATTTGCAGAAAAATATTGCGCAAAAAACTGGGTCAAACTGAAAATGCCTGTGTGAACCAGGCCTTTAAAAGGAATAAAACAAATTGTGGCAAGACCTCTTATACAGCGGAGGATCATAATCTTCACTAACACATATTGTAATTGAATCTTCGTTAGGACTACATGTGGCATTGGATTTATAAAAAAAACTGAGAGGTAATACCTTGGAAATCTTTCAAAGACATTTAGATCACACACATTGGACACATATCCTTTGTGGATATTGAGAAATATTTAAAAGAAGGTTTTTGAAATGTACATTTTATTGAACTACATTTAGCACAAAAAGGGAATTTTTTTTTCTCACCGGTTATACATATCTGCCATCATCTCAACTTCAAGTTCTGCTGCCAGCTGCTGAGCTCTTAAGGGATCCATCTTGTTTTGGTTGTGTACCCTATATCATGCAGAATTACAGCTGCAAGACACAAACACATAGAATAAGATGCATTTTTGATCCTTTACACAAGATTAGACCGTAATAAGTTTAAGTAATCATGTCCATGATGCAAAAACGTAAGGGTTGATTGTGACAAATCAGATAAAATATAGGATAGGAGAGACAACAGCATTCAAGGACCAGTGGGTTTATAAAGCTGCCAGTAGGAGGAGGACCATAGATGCAAAAAAATAGAAAGCAATCTAAGGGTCATCTACTGGCTAAACCCTACCTATACTGTATAGCAACTGGCAGCAATCGGTGCAAGTAGCCAGTCCAATTCCAACAAAGGAAACAAGCCAAAACACAAATCAAAGGGGCAGACTAAAAATGTTATGGGGAGTCCAAAAAAGCACACATCAGCATTTAAGGGTCAGTGGGATGTCCACACGACAAGGGAAATAATACACTGACCATCCATAACAGAAAACAGAGTGAAGCCCAAGCTGTAACAGGATGAATTATATTGCTGCCTGCAGAACTTTGGTGCCATTGCTAGCATTTGCCAATGCAGCCACATCAACCTTAAGAAGATTAATACATTTGTGCACTTACGAACACCCTGCAGACCTGAGCCACCAAGACCCAATGATGAAAAGTTCAAGTGCAATAACTACATTAGCAGAACAAGCAATAATTAAAAAGGTAGGTCTTTCTGTCTCAGGCCACAAGCCAGGACACCGGGAATTAGCAGAGGCAAACGAATTTGAAGAAGAACTACAGGAAAAATGATTAACCCTTGCAGTGTGGCTACCCCCACACTGCAGAGGTTGACTGTTTTTTTTTTCTCCAACCAAGACAAAAAAAAGTTGTACCTCACCTCAACCGCAGAGCCGGCTTCATCTTAGGCCGGTTCTTCGAGCCTCTCTCTCCCTCTGCTGCAGCGGTCTAAGGTCCTGTAAATCATCATGTTCTATACACAGAAGGGATGCACCAAAATGTCGGCCACCGAAACATATTGGCCGAAAATGGCACTTCGGGCAAAATGCAGTGCATCCGTGATTTCTCTCGTCCCCGATGTGCGCTGCTTTGTGTCCCCTCTGACACAGCGCAGTGTCCAGGGGGAGGTGAGAAACTGTCAGGAACCGAGCAGGGCAGGTAGGAGAGCGCTGTGAACGCAGTCACAGGAGGCCGAGCTCTCCTTCTGCACCGCGCCCCTCAGCCTCCTGTAACAGACTTACCTGTAATCCTTAATAATAATACTTAGCTGTATCCTTAGAGAGTGGTGTGTGGGCAGATACATCTGTCACAGGAGGAAGAGCCGTCGGTGAGGGGGGAGTCACAACTATCAAATTAGACCAAGCTCTCCTCTCAGCACCGCCTGCTCAGCATCCTGTGACAGGGATCCACGATGGAGAGCGGCATACAAACATTCAGCGATCAGTGATCGCTGAATGTTTGTAAATAACTGGACATAGTATGAGTTACTATGCACCAGTTCGGAATTAATAGGAAGTGATCTACATCATCCCTATTCATTCATGTTTGTGTACATAGTAACTCAAACTATATCCACAATTTATGAATGAACAGAAACACTGAGTAGAGGATTCTGCAGCTGGGGCTGCAGAAAAAGAGATCGAGGACTTTGCGTCCTCGATCTCTTTTTATATCGTAAAAGGGAAATATCAGGAGTCTGTTTAGATCCCTGCTATTTCACTGAAGCCCCAGCAATAAAATGTAATATTTTTTTTAATAAAAACAAAATATTTGTTTAAAAATGTAAACGTTTAGACTCAGAATTTAATTTCGGTGCACCTCTAATACACAGTTTATAGACGTGAGTATGGTGAAAAACATTCCAATGCTGCAAGCATAGGAGAAGAGAGGCTGAAGGGAGCACTCTGACAGCTGGCCGGCTCGGAGCTTAAGTGAGTATAACTGTTATTTTTGAACAGACAAAAAAGAGCACTTAGCCCTTGCAGTGCGATGGTAGCTCCACTGCAAGGGTTAATAAAAAATGTTTTCCCTGGAGTTCTTCCTTAAATACATCCTGTCAAGGGGCATGGCCAGGATGTAGAGATAGGAAGATGTGTCTGGGTTGAGCTCCTGCCATCCTGTCTATATCCGTCTTCACAGCCTTCAATTGCTCCCATTTTGTCTCCATCCTGCCTGGGGGGGAGTATGTTCCCCTTGTGCTGCTGGAGATGCCATCCAAGGCCCGATCTTCTACTCCACTACTCCTGCGAACACATGACCGGACAGCATCTGGGCTGAAGCACTACATTTGCTGCTTGCTGAAATGGAGGTGGCAGAGCAACCTTAGAATGTATCTCCTCCACTGTCCACAGACAGCAAGTCGTTGATTTTGTCAGCCATCGAACAGAGTAAAACCTCTCTTTTGGTTCACATTGATAGGCTGGCAAAGGAGTGAAATATGATTAGGAACAGTTAAGACAAAAACTGGGGTTGCATCACCAAGGCAGAATCTTGGGTCATGATTGTGAAAGACTCAGCCGATCAAATGTCGGATTTCCTGTCAGAGTCACTCTGTACCATGAAGACCCTGACAGCCAGATGAGATGATGGAGAAAATAGGTTAGGAGAAACAATGTGTGGGTGCTTGGCCTCCCAGAGGGGTTGGAAGGTAAGCGGCCAGCTAAATATGCTTAATCATTCTTCATATCCTATTTTTGGCCTTACTGATGTCCCTGCTACCTACATGGTTGAGCAAACCATTCTAATGAATGGAAAGCAGAGGCTTCCCATTCATTAAGAAAATATTTTACTATCAAGCAGTTTATGAATGGGGAGGAGCCTATGTAGTGAGTGCTTCTCCCCATTGAGAAACTCATGAATGAACAGGTAGTGATGTAAATCACATCCTGTTCATTTATAACTGGGGACACATAGTACTATGTGTCCCCAGTTATTTACAAACACTGGAGTGATCAGCTGATCGCTCCAGTGTTTGTCCTGCACAGAGGATCGGAACATATCACTGATATGTACCGATCCTATGCCGCTCGGCCACGCACACGGGGGGTGAGCTTCTCCCATGGATCCCCCCTGCTCTCCCGGGCAGAGGCAGCGGGGGATCCGAAACGAAGCACACAGCAGGGGCGGAGCCACTGTCACAGAACTAAGGCCGAGCAGTGAGGGGAGAGAGAGGCGCCGGCTGTCAGATCCAGACTGAGCGTCTCTCTCTCCTCACCGCTCGGCATTAGTTCTGTACAGTATTGTTAATAGATAAGGGGCTTGAATACATTTTTAGAGATTTAACTCCTGAGTTTAGGGTCACTCTGTCTAAAATGATGCAACTTGATTAGCTGTCATGGAATGTCAAAGGACCTCAGATCAAATTCAAAAGAGCCTTTATGTTTACATTCATAAACACACCTAAACCCACTTGTTTCTACAGGAAATGCAATTATTGGGCAATAAAATCCTTGCCTTGCACAGGCCATGGGTGCAGCAAGCTTTTCATGCTATCTATTCGAGCTATGCAAGAAGAGTTGCAATTCTAATAAACAAATCTTTATATGCAAGGTTCTGCAGGTCATCAGTGACCCAGGAAAATTGGTGGGGTTGCTTGTGGTCTTTCTGGAGATCAGGGTGCAGTCTTATTCATTTGTTAATCTCTATATTCCCTCTCCTTTTGACTATACTATTTTATATACTGTTTATTAGGGATGCACCAACAACGATATCAGTGTAGATACTAAGCATTTAGGCGAGTAGTAGACCGGTGGTAGATGTGGAAACTCTCTCTCTCATATGCTGTCCTGGAAAATAACATGGAGAAATAATAGGATTTTTGTACTCACTGTTAAATCCTTTTCTCTGCGTTCATTGAAGGCCATTTCTCATACATGCAAGGGTAGGAAGCTAAGCACACCCTGATGGTGGTTTAAGCCCCCACTAGCAGTAGAGAAGACACAGACATCTTCCAGAGGGTAGGGGGCTGTGTCCTTCAATGAATGCAGATACATTTTTTTTTACGTTGAGTACAAAAAATTCTATTTTCTCTTCCGTTCACTTAAGGACAAAGCCATTTCCTCAATTAGCTTACACTAAGTTTGGGGCGTCCCAAAAAAGTGAAAACCTGAGGGATGGGCAACCAGAAAATAACAGAAAAACACACTAAACAGCTGCCTGAAGGACTTTGCGCCCAAAGACCATATCAGCAGAAGCAACAACATTAACTTTAAAAACCGGGTAAAGAGAGGGCGTGGCTTGCCGGAGATGTGAGCGGTCGTGCTTTCTGTGAACTTCGCACCTGACCTGCTATTCTGAAGTGCTTAGCAGCCTCTCAACAACTTTAACATGCGGAAAAACAAAACTAAAATATCCTCTAAAGCAGGGGTGCCCATAAGGTCGATTGCGATCTACAAGTTAATCGCGTAGCAATCACTGGTAGATCGCGATGTCCTCTCCTCCCGCCCGTGGGTCTTCTCCTCTGGATCCCCATCTGTATGCAGCGGGGATCCTAGAAGTGAAGGAGGCGCTGCAGCCGCGGGCGGATGGCGAAGGACGGAGCCGCTGTCACCGAGCTAAGGCCGAGCGGTGAGGAGAAAGAGACGCTCGGCCAGGTTCTGACAGCCGCGGGTCTCTCTCCCCTCACCGCTCAGCCTTAGTTCTGTGACAGCGGCTCCGCACCCCCCCCCCCCCTGAAGTGCTTCTTTAACTTCTCCTCGGATCCTCCGCTGCCTCTGCCCAGGAGATCCAGTGGAGAAGCTGAGCCCCAGTGTGCGCGGCCGAGCGGCAGAGGATTGGTACATATCAGTGATATGTTCCGATCCTCTGTGCAGGACAAACACTGGAGCGATCAGCTGATCACTCCAGTGTTTGTAAATAACTGGGGACACATAGTACTATGCGTCTCCAGTTATGAATGAACAGGATGTGGTTTACATAATTTGTTCATTTATGGAGTTTCTCAATGGGGAGAAGCACTCTGTACAGAGGCTCCTCCCCATTCAGAAACTGGATGATGGTAAAGTATTTTCTGAATGAATGGGAAGCATCTGTGCTTTCCATTCA